TAACATTTTTTATATGTTTTGATTAATTTTGCAGATAAAAATATCAAAACTAATCTTGGATTTTGTAGATTAATAAAATTTAACTTATTACATTTATCCACAATGCATATGTTTTTTGTAAGTTTATAAATATTAGAAATCATATACTTTGTCATACACATTTAAATATTAAAACCGATTAAAAACATATTTAATTATTGGGTGGGTCAAAATCTAGTTTTGGCTTTAAATAAAAATTGTCTCTCACATTCGTTTTGTCTAGAGACCGCAGGAACAATAACATCACCAGGTTTGGATCTGGATTGTGAAGGCGTTTAGGGATGGTTCGTGATAATTATAATAATCAAGGAGGAGGATCCTCAAGACCGTTATATGAGATGGTGAACGATCCTTCAACGGATTCAATCGTCTCGTGGAGCGAGAACGGAAATAGTTTCATCCTTTGGAATCAATCTGAGTTCTGCAATGATGTTCTTCGAGTTTCTCACAAAGCAAGGATTTATCAATTTTCACCAGGAGGCTTGGTACCTTTGTAAGTTTTTGTCATTTTTCATTTCGTTTAATTAGCCTCGTAAATTAAATACACTTACTTGCTATAGGGTCTATCTAAATTCATGTAGGGATTTAGAAAGGTTGTTGAGTCTGAACAATTTGAATACGCAAATGATAAATTTGTGAGAGGTAAACCTGAGCTCTTGCCGGAGATACAGAAGCGGTACATTGCAAGTCTACCTCCTGATGCTTTTGTCTTCAAGAGAAGAGCAGAAGCAGCGAGGGGAATCGAGAGAATCAAAGCTTTACAATTGGCTATGGATCAGAGTTCTGTAGTAAAGAACCTATCTAACCTCACTTTATGAATGATCCTTCACTCTTCTTCTTGCATCTCTATCGTTGTAGCTAGCTCTGTCTGTCTTTCAGAACGAAATGCTATGCAAACTAGTGTGCATGTGATTCTATTATATATATGTATACATATTTTAACTTGCAGTGAAGTTTCCATAGAGTGTTGTTCTGCTGATGCATATGGTTCTTTCAACAATGATTTTGGTAACAGTGCACAAAGCTGCTTTGCAATTCAATTTTTGATTGGTTTTGTAAGTGGAAACTTAAAAATACAAAGAAGCATAAAAGATGTTGGAATAGGTAGTAGAGAAGAAGAGTTGTTATTAACATCTTAGCACAAAGATACCTTGTACTCCCTTCTCTAGTGTGCAATCCCAGACTGGCAATGGTTTTATACAACAATATCATTTATAGACGAGGATCAATCTTCGGAAAGTGCAATCCTAGACGGTACAAAAAGAACGTTGGACGTTGAGGTGACTTGTTGCCAGTAGGGGAGAAATCAATTTCGTCCTGAAGACTCAATTTCGTTAGGACGTTGCAAAGTTGATCTCGTCGTTATATCGATCTCATAGGGGAGAAATCCGACCCCTACAGTTTGTATAAGGATCTGACATGGGGATCGATTGCAATGAGAAAAAGAAGCTTCTTCGTATTGCATGCATGTCCACAAAAGCCAGTACAGAGGGAGAGCAATCAGGTCCTTTGCTAGTCTTATGACTGTTCCCTTCCAAGACAAGAGGTCCTTAGTATTGAAAACAGTGAAAGGTAATAGAATGCTTGTTAGAGTTTATGGTTCGTCCAAAACATACTCTAAATATTCTGTTTGATAAAGGGTATTCAATTAAAATGCATAAAGGAAATTACATGGATATGACTTTAAGGGTCATATAGTTCGATAAAGTAGCTGGAGAGATATAAGATTAAGCATACACTTAAACTAGTAAACTAGCTTTCGAAGACTAAAAGCTTAAACGAGTGTTCTAGGAGCTAAAGAAATGAGCTCTCTAAAATTGCTTAGTTGAGTGGTCCACGGTCACCACGGCCTCCACGACCGCGATTACGCATCTTTTGAGTTGGTTTTATTGGCCTTCCTCCTCTAGACCTATGAGATGATGCATCAAGACGCTCATAACCTGTAAAAACTCCATTTCCATCAAAAGGACTTCTCTAGGGCTCAATCACAACAACATCCTCCTTAACCAAAGGGATTGATTGAGGATGTGGTGTTTCGCAAATTGGTACAGCCTCAATGACTGTAGTTGATGGCTTAGTTCATCGATCAATTTCATGAATTGGTGTGGATTTAGTAGCATAAGCTAAGGTAATATCTATGGCAGGCGCTGTGGCAGTAGTTGTGGCAGTCGTTTTAGCAGAAACTGTAGGAGATTATGTAGAAGTTGTAGCAGATTGTGAAGTTACCGGAAGTTGCGTCGTGGTTGACAAATTAACAGCTGAAGGTTGCCTTAGGATTATTGAGTCTTGAGCAGAGGCAGTCTCCACAATGGTTGAGTCGATTGAAGCCATTACAGTATCTGAAACAGCTTCAACATTTGGGACAAAGGTAGAGACAGAGCCAGAACCAACGTTACTGTTTAAGGCAGGAATAGAGCTATGGACCGGAGTCTCTATGCTTGAGACAGAAGCTTCAACGTCTAAGGTAGAGACATAGACATTAACTCCAGCAGATTTAGGCAGGGGACATAGACATACACTCTCAATATGACAACCTAAATTAACAAATGAATTCTTAACTATTCCAAGATGTAGAATTAAGAAATTCCTAATCATTCAAATCATAATCGTTAAATCAAATAAATCCTTATATATAAAGGTAATCAACTTCATATATAAAAACCGATAGAGAAAGAGAGTGTAACCACATGAGGATCTAACATTCCAAGTATTTCCATAAAAATTTGCATAGAAACTTAGCCATGTCTCGAAATAAACTACCATAGAGTTCATTGATTCCTCCTTCGATTAAGCCGTGCTACTACTGCCTGGACCGCCAGACTCTTCAGACGAAGATTGGTGACCTGGTATAGCTGGAGCAACCGGAGGCCAGTGTTGCGGGTTATCCGTTTCCTGATTCATGATATTCAGAACGTTGATGATGATGTCTTGAAGGTGTCCGATTGTGTGACCTCCCTGAAATTATTTTATATCACAATTGTTTATTTAATGTTCTTACTCAATTAAAGATATAATAATCACAGTAAAAAAAGAAAATATAACCACCTCGTTAATATGATTTTGAAGTAGCGGAATTGATTCATCGACAAATGTTTGCACCCGTTAAACTATAGCAGCTCTTAGATTATCGAGACCATCATCCGCCATGATTTCTGTGTAACATTTGTCTCACCATCGTTAAAATCATCAAATAAAATATAGAGACAACAAAAATTGGATAGTGTCACTACTATCACTAGCCAATCGTGTAAGGAATTTTGGTGTAGATCGAGCATATCAACCTAATATATTAAGGTAGAAATATGCCGTATACATGTTTATTGCTGGCCAAAAAAAAAAGAGGAAAATCTTCTAAATCCGAGCTAATATATTAAAATCATCAGTCTTTGAACCAAATCTAGATGAAAAACATTAAAAGCGGCAAATATATATACACATACCTTATAAAAGAAAAAGAAAAAAAAGAATCATGAAAAATGCATACCTCGCGAAACCCTAGATCAGCAGCGGCTACCAAAAAAACGAAAGACAAAGGGGCTGATTGGTAAGGTACGTGACTATAGGCTGTTAAAAATGTAAATTATGCATAATTTGCATTCTGATATAGTGAAAAAATGGCACAAAAAACTATTTTAATTATTTTGGTAGTAAACTCCTTCATTTAGGTAATTCTATCAACATAAAAAATAGTATGATCGTTTTTCAATAGTATATAAATAAAATAAATATCGATTAAAAAAAACAAGAGAATGCTAAAATGCAACAAAAACCCATCCAATTTCATGCAATGGATACCGATTGAAATCATGCAATTTTATCTAATTTTTTTTTTAACCAAAAACCATGCAATTTTATAATGAAATTAAAAATCAACGTAGAAAAATAGCATCAACATGGATCTGAAAAGAAAGAGAAAAAAAATTTAATAATTAATCAAGCAAAAAATTTTAGTGGTAAATTACACAAAGATTTTAATATGGTTTTCAATTAGTTTGGAAAGAAAATAAAAGAAGTTTTTTATGGTGTTGAGTTTTTAGATAGACTTTAGAAAGAAGTCGAAAATAACAAAGGGAGAAAATAAAGTGGCTGTGCAGACTTTAAAATATAAAAAAACAGTAAAAGTATGATTGGTTAAAAAAAACTGTGAGAACTTTTAAATATCTTACAGCCCTTACAGTATCAATGCCAATCGGCCCAAAGTCAGACTTGGGTAAAGCAAAAAACAAGAGTATTTTCTGAAAGCATTTCGCTTTATACAAATGGAATATCGGGTCGGGTTTGAATCAAATGCATTTAGATATCGGGTGGGTCGGGATTGAATATATTTTCAAATTTCCCGGTTCTATCGGGTTTGAATAATTTTTCAAATTTCCCGGTTCTAGCCCTCTCTCCCAGATTTTCTGCTTAAACTATATTCGTCAAGGAAAATGAATGGACTGATGGGCTTAGTCTCGAAACAGGCTCAACCATTATGGGCTACGCTTTGAGACTGATACGGTCCGGCTCATGCGCACTATAACATCCTTATCACCCTATGCGTGGTCTTCAAAAGTTTTGCCTAGGAACAATAACATTACCAGGTTGGATCTCAATTTCTTGTTTCAATACAGAATGTTTGGTCTTGTTGATTGTTTGTATCAATAATTGTGTATTTGTTGCTTACAATTTTGCTCGCGTAACTAATTTTATAATTGTTGGTTTGGGATCTGAATCGTTTAGGGATGGTTCGCGATAATTATAAAAGTGGAGGAGGATCCTCAATATCGTTAAAGCCGTTCCGTAGTTTCGGGACCAAGTTATATGAGATGGTGAATGATCCATCAACGGATTCAATCGTCTCGTGGAGCGAGAACGGGAACAGTTTCATCGTTTGGAATCAATCTGAGCTTTGTAGTGATGTTCTTACAAAATTCTCACTAAGCAATATTTTATCAATTTTCACAGCGAAGCTTGGTAGATTTGTAAGTTATTTCCTTGTACATTTCGTTTAATTAGTCTCGTAAGTTAGAAACACTTACTTTGGGATGTTTGTTCATGTAGGGATTTAGAAAATTTGTTGAATCTGAGCAATTCGAATATGCAAACGATCATTTTGTGAGAGGTAGACCTGATCTCTTGGTGGAGATACAGAAGAGGTACATTGCAAGTCTTCCTCCTGATGCTTTTATCTTCAAGAGAAGAGCAGAAGCAGCGAGAATCGACGCCAGAACCAGAGCTTTACGATTGGCTATGGATCAGAGAGCTCTAGTAAACAACCTAACAAATCTTACTCTGTGAATGATCACTTGTGTTGTCAACAAAATAAAAGAATGATCGCACTCTTCTTCTTTCATCTTTATCTTTGTAGCTTTTCTGTATTTTTTGCTTAAAAATGCTCTCTTAATAGATACATCGTGGCAACTTTATTATCATATATTTCCATCAGAAGTAGATTCTTCTTATTTCCTTCTTGCCCGCAATCAGGTAGTAGAATCCCTTGGTCTAATCACCAGGGTAGATGCCACGATATCTCTGCCTTAGCTTTTTGTTACTAAACTTATTGCCAAATGAGGAGTTTGATAGTCTTAAAGAAGAGTTGGTGTGTGAAGGAACAGCGTCGTGATGCTGAGGAATGAACTATGGCTTAAGTTTTTGGTTCTGTGGACAAAGGGGCTTGGAAGCTTAAATTGCCTTATGCTTTCAGAAATCCAAAAGGTGAAAGCGAAGCTGAAGGTTCCTTGTCCCTTTGTGCTTCAATGGTAATGAGATAGTAAACATTCTCGAGCATACGTTATTGACGTAAGGCTGTTGAGCCCATTCGAGATTGAAGAAAGAAGGAATGGGAGAAACAAGAGATGGATGACGGTTTCCTTTAAGACGAGGTCTTGAAAAGATGAAACGTAGTAGTATTATGCTTATTGCAAAATTTGTTTTTCGAATCCGTTTCTTTCATATACTAAATATATGAACACACAATTTGCATTGCTATTCAAACCATTTGGAGAGCTCTCCCTACTTTTCTGGCTGAAGCTTTGGGGCTTAGCCTCATAGCCTGTACTTGGATGTGACGTCTTCTTTGCCATGAGAAACTGATTCATGAAGTCGCCACGGTACTGCTACATTGTTTCACTTCCAAGAGACAAACCAGTTCTTTCTCTGATTCTCCACTTGCTTCACATATGTATGTATGTTCAGCTCCTTCGTTTTGGTGGAACGCATAGTCCACAAGTTTCTATGTTTTGATGTAAAAAATTGCTCTGAGAATTGCAGGAGTTCCTAATTTAACAATCCAATTCTAAACAGTTCCAAAATTTGATTGGAATCAGTGCGTAAGGCTATGAAATTATGAATCTTTCAACACAAAAAGAGACAAAACTTTAACAATCCAGAACTAAATTCCAACATGATTAAGCAATGCTTAAACATTTCCATAGAAGCTATGAAAGTATGAATCTTTCAAAACCATCGGTAAAAAAGGGACAAACTTTAACAATCCAAAGCCACTGGTCTTACGCTTTAACAATCCAAAGGGACAAACTTTAAAAAAAGGTTCATAACGAGTTAATATTCTTCTCGTTGAACTTACGCTTCACTACCAGAGCCACTGGTCTCTAGGCCAATAGGGTCGGAGGTCGAAGTCTGTTGCTCGTCTGCTAAAGCCGGCTGCACGAGATCCGTAATGATTGCAGCATGATTAATCATCAGAAGCTCCACTCTTTCAAGATGTCCTTGTTCGCAGCATAAGCCCAAAGTACAGCTACGTTATCGCGGGTAGCATCAAGAAACTCATTGGCCATATCTATGTGATCTTGGATCTCGTTTTCCATGTTCTGAAACAAATTGGAACCCTGGCACAACACTCGGAGGCGAAAATAAGAGTTTATGAGTCGTGCATTATGAGCAAAAAAAAAACATTGTGGGCCATTTTTGGTTTATAATATTTGGGCCCTTGTTGTTTTATATCTAGTTTTAGAATTTTTCCTTTTTTGGTCGTACACTACATAATGAAAATGTGTCACGTTTTATTCAATGGCTCATTTAGCTCTATAACAAAAAAAAAATTATATTTCAAATCTAGTTAAAATCCCTAGATCCAATGGCTAGATTGTTGCCACATAGGGGGTTTTGACTAAATTTTAATTTTTTTTTTTTTTAATAGTTATACAACCCAATTTCCCTTATTGCATTCGATTTTACATTGTTATATCACTCCCTATAAAAATAAAACAAATTCCCTTAATTATTCGATCATAACAGAGTTGGGCAAAAAACAAGTGCTTTATTCTTCCAAGCTGGGCAAAAAAACTCTCAATTGAAGAACCAAATTGAATCTGATCTGAAATTATTCGAACCGAACCTCAATCGATTATGTAAAATATCTGAATAAATTTTCAACAACTAGTACCGAAAAATCCAAATGGAATCCAATGCAACACAAAAGTTATAGAAACCGAATGAGTTTTATAGTCTTAAATCTGAAAACCCAAGCAGTCCATGCCTAGCTAACGACATGAAAAATGTTTTAATTATTATTTTTTTTTGTATTAATTCACTTTTTCTTTTACATTTTGTCACAACACAAAATCTCGCCATCCCAACAAATGTATTTTCATACTTGCATTTAGAAAAGCCTTGTCATGTTCTAATCTAACTCCTACTTATGAGAGATAATAAACTCAATTACGGCAGAGATTTCAGAACATTTCAGAGCAAAATGCCATGTAAACTCTTAATCTGAGTATGTCATCATGTAATATATATTTTAACTTGCATTAAAGTCTCCATAAAGTCTTGTTCTGCTGATGCTACCCTTTTGAACAATGTGATAAAAAGTATGCATGTTTATGACTTGTGTTTGTAGTGCCCCAGATTATGTATGGTTCTTTCAACAATGGTTTTGATAACAGTGCACAAAGTTGCTTTGCAATTCGATTCTTGATTGGTTTTGTAAGTGGACACTTGAAAAAACAAAAAAACATAAAAGATGTTGGAATATGTAACACATATAAAGAGTTCTTGTGATAACTTTTTAGCATAGATACCTTATACTCCTTCCTTACCTTATTATATAGGAGTTCATGGATTTGTAATCCAAGCTTTTAAGTTTTTCCCGTTTATTTTCACAACCATTTTAGGCATGCAATGCTTTTATTGTAACAACAATTTCA